AATGTTTGTTGAAATGAATCAGTTCAGATCAATAAGCATTTATTAAGTGCTATTATGTTTCCAGGGACTCTGCTAGGGGTCTAGGGCTACAAAGAAAAAAGCTAAACAGCCCATGACCTCAAGAAGCTTAAATTGCAAGGGTGGGATTGGACAGGGAGAGAGAAGTGGAATAGGACATGTGCACAGAAAATTATATACAAATATAGAAAAGGACAAGTGCAACTGGGGGGATCAGGTAAATTTCTTGGAAGATGAGTCAGTTGGGCTGAATTTTGAAGGAAGTTAGAAATTCTAAAAGGTAGATGTGAGGGGTGAGTGCATGGAAACAGGAGATAAAATGTCACATTTAGTGAGCAGCAAGTAGGCCAATTTAACAAAATATAAAGTTTGGGAAGGACAGAAGTGTATAAATAAACCTGGAAAGGTAAGCAGAAGTCAGATTGTAGTGCAAAGAGGGATTTGTATTAAGACTCAGTCAGACCTGAGATTCAGGAATATAAATTTGGTAGCTTTGTGGAGGATGGATTGGAGAGAAAGGGCTGGGAGACCAATTAAGAAGCTGGGGTAATCAGGAAAGAGGTTATAACCTGCTTAACCTGGAATAGTGGCTGTGTGTCAAGTTACAAACCTGGGTGATGAAGGATACTGAAGCCCTCAACAGAAACAAAGAAGTTAGGAAGAGGGGAGGTTTTAGAAATAAAGTAGAATTTGAGATGACTGTGGACAGCCAGTTAAAAATACTGAACAGCAGTTGGTAATGTAGTTCAGGAGAGATTGTGGCTGGATATATAGCATTGGGAGTCTTATGCATAAACATTGTGGTTGAACTCATGGAAGCTGACAAAATAACCAAGAAAGATAATGTAGCAAGAGAGAAGACCTGGGACAGAGTCCTGGAGAACATACCTGTAAACATAGGCATTAGAGTATGCATGATGGAGTGACCAGACAGCCTAACTAGGAGTACTCTGTGGGGAAGACCATGGCTAGGATGACATAGAGGCCAATGGTATCAAATACTTCAGAGAAGTCAAAGACAAGAACTGAGAAAAAGGCCAAGGATTTGGCAATCATTACACCACTGGTAACCTTGGAGAAAGCAATTTTAGCCAAGTGTTGAGGTTAGAAGCCAGATTGCAAGGAGTTGAAAAGTGACTGTGAAGTAAGAAAGTGGTGGCAATAAGTATAGACAGCTTTTTCTAGGAGTTTGGGGTGAAAGCAGGAAGAAGGAAAGGATAATAGTTTAAGGTGGTAGTAGATGAAGTGATGGATTTTTAGAAATGGGAGAGAACATTTGGGCATATTTGTAAGTAGGGAAGATGTACATCTTGCACTACAGTTTAGTAGTCTGTGCTTAGATTGTTTTGGATTTTAGTCCATACCCATGATTTTATCAGTGTAGGAGCTCTCTCCACATATGCATATGTAATCTGTAATGTATAGCCTTAGCTGCCTGGAAGCACTGAAAGGTTAAGTAACTTACCATGATCATATAGCAAATATGTCAAAAGTAGGACTTGGTGATTCAGTTGGAAAAGTACTGGCTCTGGAGTCCGAGGACTGAGTCCAAATCCTACCTCTGATGCTTACTACTTATATGACCTTGGATAAGTCATTTGGACTAGATGGTTATTGAGGTCTCTTCCAGCTCTTAACCTGTGATTCTAAGTCTTCCTGACTGCAAGGCATGCCCTTTGTCTATTGTGCTATTCTGCCTCTCAGTTTTGACTACTATTTAAATAAAATCTTTCAAGTTATAGAAGAGTAAAATTATATTTTGATAGATCTTAGGCATTCATTTTATGTCTCCAAATGCAAAGATGTCCTTTGTTGGGAGAAACCCTAAGTGTTGCTTTCTAACTAAATCATATAAAGAGTTGTGGGTGGATAATATAGAGATTGGGACTTAAAGATCATTAATTCAAAATCTTTTCCAGTGGGTCTTTGTTTGCATTAATAAGAAGGCTGAATTTGTCATCATATATCTTAGTGGTACATGTTATGAGTGCATAATCACAATGCCATAGCCATATTCTAGGCTTATTGGCCTTACGGTGTCATGGCATGGCCCATAGAACAAGCTGATGCCTTAGCCAGGTTAATTTTAATGTATTGTAAAACAAAATGTCAAGTTGTTATGCTCAGAAGTAATAGACTTGAGCAAAGGGTAAAAAAAAAAATACAGCGTAGTGCAGGGGTGGGGAACTTGCAGTCTTGAGGCCATATGTGGCCCTTTAGGTCCTCAAGTACAGCCCTTTGACTGAATCTAAACTTCGCAGAACAAATTCCCTTAATAAAAGGGTTTGTTCTGTAAAACTTGGACTCTGTCAAAAGGTCACACCCAAGGACCTAGAAGGCCACATGTGGCCTCCAGGCTGCAGGTTCCTCTACCCTGGTGTAGTAGCTTGCATAGCATAGTGGAAAAAATGCTTGGGTTTGGAACAAAGGATCAGGATTCATATCCTGTCTCTGCTACTTCCTACTTTTGTGACCTTGGGCACAAGTGCCTTACCCTCTCTGAGCCTCAGTTCTTCATGTAAAATGAAGGTGTTGGACTAGTTGGCCACTAAGGTTTCTTCTAGATCTATATTCTGTGATTTCTGTAGCACTCTAAAGTTTACGAGGTGTTTTCTTCACAATCTTGACATAGATTGAACAAGTACTATTGCCTCTCTTATTTTCAAAAAGTGTTTTTTCACTTTCCTTTTTTGATGTCACTGCTTCCTCCCCTACCCCAACCTTCCCTTGTAAGGAATAAATTTATTTAAGCAAAACAAATCAACACATTGGCCATTATCTGAAAATATTTGCCTCATTCTGCACTTAAAATCCACCACCTTTCTGTTGAGAGATGGGACACATGTTTGACCATCAGTCTTCTAAAAGACAGCATTGGTCACTGCATTGATCAGAAAGCTTAAATCTTTTTTTTTTTTTTTTTTTTGGCTAGGCAATGGAGTTAAGTGACTTGCCCAGGGTCACACAGCTAGTGAGTGTTATGAGTCTGAGATCAAATTTGAACTCAGGTCCTCCTGACTCCAGGGCCGGTGCTCTATCTGCACCAACTAGCTGCCCCAGAAAGCTTAAATCTTTCAGTGTTGTTTTCCTCTACCATATTGTGATTGTTTTGTAAATTGTTCACTTAGTCCTGTTCACTTCATCAGTTCATACAAATCCTTCCCAAGTTTTTCTGTTTTTTACATCCATTTATTACTGCATTACATTCCTATAACAGTTTTTTCAGCCATTACATAACTGATGGACACTTTACTCCTAGTTGGTACTAGGATGGCATTAAAAATATTTTTCCATACATGGACCCTTTCCTTCTGTTTCAAACCTTGGTTTCCCCATTTTACAGAATCAGGAATTAAGGCATAGGGCAGTGAACAATTACATGTAACTAGCAAGTGTTGGTGCTAGGATTCGATTCCAGGTCTCCAGACCCTTCGTCTATGCAAGACTATTCAAATATAATTTATATAAATTTGAGTTATAGCAAGTGATACAAAGGTAACATCATTCCTCATTCAGGAAAAGGTGATGACCTCGGAAGGAGAAGAGATCCTTTCTAAGGGATGCCTGGCACTGGGAGGGAGACTGAAGAATGTGAGCACAGCTGGAGCGGAGTCCCGCCTCCTGGCGAGCACAGGCCCCGCCCTCCGTCCCGCCTTCCCTAAAGGGCTCTGCGGGGGGGGCGGTGACACGGAATAGTGACGTATTCCAGGAGCTCTTGTTGGTTGGCTGAGGCGGCAGGCCCCCGCCCTTCTCGGAAGTAGCCGGGGAGCAAGGCGGCCTCAGCAGGGCTGGCTTGCCGCGAAGGTAAACATGGCGGCTACGGACGCGGCGGCTACGGACGCAGCGGCACCGTCCGCGGGTTTGACCCCAGCCTCGCTGGCTCCGGCTTCAGACCCGGACGCTACCCGGGCCAATGGAGGAGATGCCGCCACCTACGCGACCTCGGGCCGGTGGGGATTCGAAGCGGGTTTGCGAGGAAGCCGGGCTAGGACGGCCGGGGGAAAGCGGCAGCCCTCAGCCGCGACCCCGAGCCCGAGTCCTGCGGGCGAACTGATCCGGCCGTCGGTGTCGGAGCTGTCCCGCGCCGTGCGCACCAACATTCTGTGCACAGTGCGCGGCTGCGGCAAGATCCTGCCCAATGGGCCCGCGCTCAACATGCACCTGGTGAAGAGCCATCGCCTGCAGGTGAGGCCCCATCCGATCCCACCCCCGCCCCCGCCCCCGGCCGGCCTGGCCCCACCGCAGCCACACGCGCACTCACGCCCCTCCCTGGGGACGGGCGAAGGTCGGTGCCCCGAGTGGCAGCACTGGCCTGCCATGCCCCCCGCACCCGGCAGCGCTCTGCTCTCCCCTGCAAACACAATTAGGCTCCCACTGTGTACAGCGCCGCGAGCCCTGATCTGGCCCCCCCAGTGCCCGTCGTTCCCCCTCTTCGCCCAACCTCGGAGTGTCCGCGGTAAAGTGCCCAGCCACAGGTGAGGCCCGACCCCAAACAGCGATGGTTACGGGGCTCACCGACACTAAATAACGGCACAACAGAGGTGTAAACAAAGTGCCCTCCGAGGGCAGGGGGGAAGGTTATGAGCACGGTGGCATCTGGAGGAGGAGGAGGCGTTTCGTTTGGGTGCGCCCATCCAGGCCTGACGTTTCCTTCCTCCACTGGCCTGTCTACTTTTACCTGGACCTGGGGTGTTGGCAGGGAGGGTGGTCTACGGATAAGTCCGCTGGAAGAAAGCTATTGTTGGAGGTTTAAATACACAAAGCGAGTGTAACCTAAGCTTCCTCTCATTTTTGGGAGGGGAGACTGGTTGTCAAGACAGCAACGAGGTACCTGCTGTTCGAGGACTGTGGTCCAGTATAGGAACTAAAGTCAATGCGGACTTATTAAGTGCCTTTTCTGAACAAGGCAATGGGCTAAACTGGCAATACTAAGGCAAAAGACAGTTCCTGCTTTCAAGGAGCTCAGTTTAATGAGGGAGACAACATGAACACAACTTGGTACAGACAAGATACATGCAAGATAAATTGGAGATAATCACCAGAGGAAAGGCACTAACATTAAAAGGAATTTAAAAAAAAAAAACTTCTTGTAGAAAGTGGAATTTTAGCTGGGTCTTTAGGGAAGCCAGGAGGCAGAGATGAGGAGGGAAGAGTCTTCCAGGCATGGAAAATGCCCAGTCGAGTATCTTGTGCTAGGAACTGCTAGGATGCTATTGTCACTGTGTTGCAGAGTACTTGTGTATGGGGGCAGGGGAGGTAAAGTGTAAGAAAATTGGAAAAGGTAGGGGCTAGGTGGTTTCAGAATCCTAATGAGATAATGTAGAAGGACTACCTTACCAGGCTCAGAAAATTATGATTGTTAGTCCAAAGATGAGAGATTAGAGTGGTTTTAGACTTAAATTTAAAGTGAGAAAGAAACTAAAGTGTTCTCAGAGAGGATTTAGAGTTAGTTTTCTTTAACTGACTTCGATTGTCTCAAGTGGCTTTGTTTTAGATAGCCAAGGATTCTGGTCATTTAATTCTATGGATTACTGCAGTTCATCTTTGTGCTTAAGTTTTCAAGGGATTGCAACAAATTTTGAGGCAATGTTAATGAATGAAAATGCATATTTTAAGCACAGACTTCTTTAAGTTTGGCACAGTGCTGGAGAAATAAAAACAAGCAAATTAGTCCCTGGCTTCCAGGAGCTTAATTCTGTTGGGGAAGACTGTATAGAAAGGGGAACTAGAGGTAAAAATGGGGGAATGAAGGGGACAGGGGCTGTGAGCACAGCAGCATAGCTTAGGGAATCCTGTGGTGGGAGTCCTCCGTTCCATTGGGAGTAAGAAGACCACATGACTTGGAGATGAAGGGGAAATGTTAGGCCCTGGTTCCTCCTAGATATTAGTTGGCATATCACTCCCAGGACATACCTTTTTAATGACTTATATTTAGCCCGTGTCTGTGGAATTAGGATAATAATCATAATTTTATTGCATGTTAAGGTTTACAAAACTTCCTTCATAACACCTCAGGGAGGTAGATAGTATAAGCTCCAATATTTATTTTTAACAGAAGTGAAGTGACTTGCCTAAGATAACACAGGTAGTAAATGACTTACATTTAATAATCCACTACTCTTGACTTCAGGTTTTCTGAGTTCCAAGTGCTGTGTTCTTCCCATTATGCTAGGCTGTGCCATTGTTGTAGAGATAGATGTGCCTCTCTAAAGATTTAAGCTAAATGGTTATTATATAAGAACTGGTTTTCAGAGCTAGTTCAAGAATACAGGTGTATTTACCCATTTTTCAAAAATTCCATTTCAAAAAAATGAACATAAAGAAAACTACAAGGGGCCAGTCATTAGCAATATAGTAAATTTAATGAATCTGAGAGGGTAAAGGATTCTTTGGGAGAAAATGTAATTTTTGAGTGTGTCATTTCAACTTGGATCTCATAATAATCTGTCCTGGAAGGGGGTAGCTAGGGGGCACAGTGGATAGAGCACTGGCCCTGAAGTCAGGAGGACCCGAGTTCAAATCCAGCCTCAGACCAAACGCTTGACACTTACCAGCTGTATGACGCTGGACAAGTCACTTAACCCCAATTGCCTAAAAAAAAATAAAATAATCTAACCTGGAGTTTGGAAGGCTGCTTTTAAAGTAGCTGTCTTTTAGTTCCATTTCAGATTTGGTCTTTCAGGCCCATTTTGTCTGCAGGAAAGCCCATGCAATTTATCCAACCCCCTTTTCTGAATTAGATGAACTTCTTTCAGTGGAAAGCAGGAACACCTACTCTCAGTCTGCTTCCTAGGTGGGTGTAGGTAAAGGAAGTTCCTTTTGATCAGTTGAGAAGTGTTTATCTACTTAATATATGCCTACCACTCTTTATAGTAGGCCTGAACTGGGGAAGTTTTCTTAATATTCAGCATAAATTTCTTTTTACATTTTTGGGGTCCTGGTTATAAATTATTTTATATTTACATATTACTCATTCAGTTAGTCATTGCCTAGTCAGTTTGTCCTTATTTTATGCTATTCTTTCCTCAAATATTCCTCCCCCCCTTAAAAAAAATGAGTCATTAATACCTTCCTTCCCCCACTCCCCCACATCTGTAGGAGTTGGGTCTGTGTTGTTTGCTTGTGTTCAGTGTTTTTTGTCTGTTTTTTGTTTGTTTTTTAAATTCTTGTCCATATTTCATGTCCTATAAGGAAAACTGGAAATCTATCCAGGCTCAGCTTTCTCTGCAGCAGAGGTCTTCCATGGAAATTGGAAGCTCTAGTGATTCAGTGAAGAGAAGGCAAAAGTGCCCATTGCTTGACTGCTAAGCATTCTTTATTCGTTATGTTTAGGGAGAAGGGGAGGAAGATAGTGCTTTGACTACCTGTAAGCTTCCTTTATATTTTAAAATGTGGCTTCCAGAATTTTTAGAAATAGTTTGCCAGAAAAACAAAGAAAGGAGGCTTCCAAGTTATTTAGGGAAGCTATAGATGGAGCTTAGACTTGATTTGTTTTAAATTTATAGTAAAAATTAAAAGAATAAAGTATTCCTTTTAAAAGTTTCCAGAAAGGAATGATGAAACATGATTTCCCTACAGCCATATGGCCCCTTTTGCATTCAGTCTTCTATTGTCCACTTTTCATTTTTGGCCTTCTTCCTTTTTCTTTTATATTAATTGACTATTAAAACTGCAAAAAATCATAAGTTTTGAGTTGAAAGGGCCCTTAGAAGTCATCTAGTCCAACACCTCATTTAATAGAGAAAGAAACTGACTCCTTGAGATGTGACTTGCCCGAGATCATAAAGTACAGCCAGGATTCAAATCTAGGTCCTCTGACTTCAAATCCAGCACTTTTCCTGCTGTACCAAATAATCTATTCAATGTCCTCATTTTAGAGAAAACCCAGAGAGCAAAAATGACTCCTCCAAAGTCATACTAAAAACTAAGAGACAGAGCCAGAACTCAAGCCCAAGTCTTCTGTCTCCAAATCCAGAACTCTTTCTGCTTACTGCACAGATCACGTGCATTTCTCCAAAATATTTATTTCTTTCCTGGAATCCTAATTCTCAAATGCTAATTGTATGAAACACATACCCCATTCATTGAAAATACCTCAGAAACATGATCTCTTTCTGTGTATAGTTTGTGTGCACAACAGATATAGCACAGAAAAATCTCACAAATACACTGACGCTCATTCATGCATAGGATCTGTGAGGTTTATGCATAGGATCTGTGAGGTGCATGCATATTCTACACACACTAAGTCATATTTTCCTAACCTCTTTAGTGCCAAGCACATCTCTTCTAACAGCTTTCTCCCACCCAAAGCTTGGACTTACTGTCCATGAGGCAGCCATAGTCAAAGAAAAGAGAAAAGGTGCCTGAGATCTTTGTTGTTGTTCTTCAGTCATGTCCAACTCTTTGTGATCCCATTTGGAATTTTCTTGGCAAAGATACTGGAGTGATATTTTTTTTTTTTTAAATTTCCTTCTCCAGCTCATTTTATATATGATGAAACTGATGCAAACAGCGTTAAGTGACTTGCCCAGGAACATAACCAAGTCTGCAGCTAGTAAGTGTCTGAGGCCAAATTTAAGCTGTGGTCTTCCTGACTCCAGGCCCAGCACTCTGTACCACCTATCTGCTTTGCCACCTAGCTATTCCCTGAGATCTAGGGAACTGGATTGAGACGGAGGAGGTTAGAAAAGGTGGTATAATGAAGAACTAGTCTTTACATAGAAAAGGCACCAAGCAGTGTTACACAACTAGCCTTTGAAAGTTAAGGCAAGGAAATAATAATGGGGAAGCAGACTTGATCTGAGTTAGCTTTAATGGCCCTGTGGCTAAGCAGGTATGTTACAGGTCTAGGTCAAGCTGAACATTTGGACAACTGACTTGTGTGTGGGTCTGTTTATTCACAGTGTCATCATCCTTCATTCTCCTCACATTAACATACTCATCATTAGCAGTACTCACATACATATATGTTAAGACTAGAAGGATAAGTATGATAAAAGAATAATGAAAAATAAATATTAAAAAGTACATGGATTAGTGAGACTGTGTAGGTGAGATATTGTAATGAAGAATTAAGTCAGTGGATAGTAATTGAAGCCCTCAGGTGCTAGTGTATAGTGTAAAATAAAACTCTTGTAGCAAATGGGTCGTATTGTTCAGCTTGATTTTCTTTCCAGAGTGATTCAGTGATCCAAGGCATTGTTTATCTTAGATGAGCCTGTTTGGATGATTTTGACCGAATTAACTATATTAACTGGCAGATTTTGGAAGACAAACTATCAACAGCAGTAGTGTTACTTACAGCATATGTGACAAGACTATTGGGCCTATACTTAAGTAGGAAAGATCTGGGTTTGGATAGCACCTTTGATACTTATTAGCTGAGGGCAAATTACTTGACTCTCAGAGCCTTAGTTTCTTCTTCTGTAAGGAGGTAAAATAATACCTTTAGTATATAAAGCTAATAGTTATTTTAGAGATCAAAATAGATGATGTATGGAAAGTACTCTGCAAGCTTTAAATTGTTATAAGATGTCAAATATTATATCAGTCCTTATGCAAGGCAATGTGCTAGATGCAAGAGGTACCAAGAAATAGAAGATAGATCCTGTCCTCAGATAAGTTAATATTTATTTGGAGAAACTGGATATGTGCATAAAACTGAACATACAGCTAAGTGCCTTGAGAGGAGGGAAGGATCTAGGAGTGGTGAAGTACAGACTAAAGAATACTGAAGGGAGTTGGAAGGGGTGGAAGTAAAAAATATGCAGTTCTATTGACTTTTGACAACATAATTTAAATATAAAATTGCATCTTTTACAGGATGGAATAATAAATCCAACAGTAAGAAAGGACTTAAAAACGACACCAAAATTCTATTGTTGCCCTATTAAAGGATGCCCTAGAGGTCCTGACAGGCCATTTTCACAGTTTTCTCTTGTAAAACAGGTATTTTAATTTTTATAACTACTTTTCTGGGAAGAATTATAAATGTTAATATGAATATAGTATGTTTCTGTTATTAGAAACTAGCAATAAACTAAGACATTCTGTAGGAGAAAGTTTGTTAGAATGCAACAGGCAGCATCTCAATGGAGAAGATGCAGGTATTAGAAAGGGATGTTTTGGGGAGTGTTTTCAGGACTGAAGTAGCGAAATATTGGCATAAATTGGGATGGGCTGAGGACTCAGAATAGGTTTTGAGAAATGGAGAGTGATCCAGGATGGCAGGGGGTGAGGTGAATGCATGTTTAGGACATGTCTGTGTCTCACAGAGTATGTAATGTGAGGAAGGTATGTCCTAGGTCATAGGGGACCATCTCAGAAGAGAAGTCTCTCTTAGAGGATGAAGATATCACCCCCATTTAAAAAGTGCTCAAAGCAGGTATCTCCAGGGTGAAAGGTGGGAGTACCAAAGAATGGGGAGAGGGGAAAGGAGGGAAGGGAGTGATCAGAGAGCATGAAGGATCATATTTAGAATCTCAACAGGATAGATTTGGTCTTAGAAACAGTAGTAGGTATCAGTAACTTTTTCCTTCTCCCCTTTCCCAACCCTCCACAAATACACAGGGTATCTCAAAAATCTTAGCGTAGTTTTAAGCTATTAAAGTTTTACACGGCACTAAGACTTTTGAGACACCCTGTATAAATAAAGTAATAAGGTGGAGAAAGGTATGTGGTGAATTGTCATTTATGTGCCTTCCTAAATCCTGCCCCTATTTGACTACCATTGTTTTTCCCCATCTAAAATCATGCTTGTTGTCATTAAATTTACTGTTTAACATTTTAACCAGTTATTTTAAATTTTTGTTCTCATGCTGTAGCACTTTATGAAAATGCATGCTGAAAAGAAGCATAAATGTGATAAATGTAGCAACTCTTATGGTACTGAATGGGACTTAAAACGACACGCAGAGGATTGTGGCAAGACTTTCCAGTGCACATGTGGCTGCCCATATGCCAGCAGAACAGCATTGCAGTCACACATTTATCGAACTGGCCATGAGATCCCTGCAGAGCACAGGTATGAGGAAATGAAGTATGATAGAACTGTGGAGCAGATGGGTAGGATCAAGCCCTTCTCTTCTACAGAGCTAGTTATTCCTAGGGAGATGATTGAAGAAGAGACAATTTGCAGCTAGGCAGAGAGGAGCTTCTCAAAGTAAGACCTTTTAGATGTGCCATAGCTGTTTCAGCTCTTTGATTTCTTTCTGCCACCTACCTTCAGGGTCCTTTGTGGCTTGTAGATTGGAAGATGTTATACTAGACCACTCTGCTTCCAGAAGTTATAGGGGTTATAGATGTTAGTGTGAATTGGTAAGTTATTTTAGTGTGTTGCAATTTATATATTATAATAGCACGAAATTTAGAGATGAAAAGTATTCCAATACATGGTAGTTTTAAAATTAATCTGTTAGTCTCACTGAGAGACAGCGTGGCCTCTCGTGGATAGACTACTGGACTTGGATGAGGAAGACTTAAGTTCAGATTTGCCTCTTGCACTGGTGGGTGCATTTTTCAACCTTCTAAGCCTCAGGCAATTCTCTAAAATATATCTACTAAGTTATAGACAGGATGGTGAGAGGAGTCTCCACACTCACAAAATCACAGATGGCTTTCACTATCTTTATATTTAAAGGAGCCCGCTCCCTCTCATTGTGTTACATTTTCTCATTCTTCTGCTTACCTCAGCAAGACCAGCCCTTTAGGAGATCTATCATTCAGTCATTCAGTCAACAACCATTTGTTAAAGGCCTGCTATCTGGCCAGGCTCTGAGAATACAAAGATAAGATAGACAGCCTAGCCCACAAAGAGCTTTGATATACTGGGGGGGGGGGATACAGCATGTTCACAGCTAAATAAATACAGCATCTATAGACAGAATAAATTCACACTGATTGGGAAGAGGCACTTATAGAGTCAGGAAAGGGCTCTGGAAGTTGCTGGCAATTAAGACAGGTGAGAAAGACCAACACAGGAGAGCCTGGCCAAAGGCAGGGAGGTGGGACATGGAATGTCGGGAATGAAGATCATTAAGTCTGCATATTTGTCTAGGGGGTGGAATGAATGAGGGGGAGAGAGGTTGAAGCCAAATCAATGACTTTTAAGGATAAGTAGAGGAATTTGTACTTTATTCTAAGGGCAGTGTGAGCCATTGAAGTTTCTTGAGCAGGAGAGTGACATGGTTAGACCTGTATTTTAGTACTATCAATTTTGGCAGCCACACAAAGGATAAATTGAAGATAGGAAAGACTTTATGTAGGGAGACCAATTAAGAGGCTACTGTAGTAGTTAAAGTAAGAGATAAGAGGGCTGAACTAGAGTGGATATAGTCTGAGTAGATGATAGATTTTTCAGGAGGTAGACTTGACAATACTTGTCATTGGATTGGATGTAAGGATAAATAAGAATAAAACAGCTGAAAATGACTCCAAAGTTGTTGAAAACATGGAGGACTAGAAAGATGCTGATTTCTCTTCCTGCCCCTCCCACTTCCCTGCAGAAAGAGGGAAGTTAGGAGGAGGACTGGTTTTAGGAGAAAAATTATGAATTGGGTTTTGGATATGTAGAGTTTGAGATGCCTGTGTAATCTCCAGGGGGAAATGTGGAAGTAGAGTTCAGGAAAGAAATGAATATATAGATGAAGTCATCTTCATGGAGATGGTCACTGAACCTGTTGGAACTGATGAAATCCCTAGAGAGCGTAGAAGGTGAAGAGGGCCAGGACAGAGTCCTGGGATATGCCCACACAGGTAGAGCAGGACATGGATGATGCATCTGCAGAGAAGACCAAGAAGGATTTGTCAGACAGTTAGGAGGACAGTTAGAAGAGAACAATTAGTTTCGTGAAAACTCAGGGAAGATAGTTGAGAGTAGTCAGCAATGTCAGGTGCTTTAGAGATGTCAAGAAGGATGACAGCTGAGAAAAAGTCATCAGTTTATAGCAATAAAGAAATCATGGGTGTCTGTGGAGAAGATAGTTTCAGTGGAGGGGTAGGCGCAGAAGACCGATTGCAAGGGGTTAAGAAGTGAGGGAGAAGTAAGAAAGTAGAGGCAGGTAACATAGATAGCCTTTCCTAGGCAAAAGTAGTCCTCTATTCGGAAGGATTGATTGAACAATCATAATAAAAGTTGTTGAGGATGAATCAGCGGCATGGATTTTAGAATAATTTTTTTTTAATTCTGTTAATGTTTTTAGGGACCCACCTGGTAAGAAAAGGAAAATGGAAAACTCTCTGCATAATCAGCAGTTGTCTGATAAGGCACTTGAATCACTGATCAACAAACCAACTACTGGAACAGACACTCAAGACTTGGAAACTTCAGAGATAAAGCTGGTGGCTTCTTTTGAAGATTCTTGTAGCTCTAATGCCAGAAAGCAAACCCTTACACCTCCAAGATACACTCCGAAGTTACTTTTGCCGAAGCCCAAAGTGGCTTTGGTTAAGCTTCCTGTTATGCAGTTTTCCCATTTGCCTATCTTTGTGCCTGCAGCAGACTCCTCGGTCCAGCCTATGGTGGTTGGTGTTGATAATCAAGGGTCTGCCACAGGCACCGTTCATCTGCTTCCTTTGTCAATAGGAACTTTAATACTAGGATTGGATCCAGAGGGTTTCTCACTTAAGGAAACTTTACCGCTTTCAAAAATAGTCAATCCCGTTGCTGTTGAGCCTATTAGTACAGGTGTACAAGTGAATTTGGGCAAAAACCCAACTAATGCTTTACAAGAATTAGGAAATGTGTGTCAAAAGAATAAAATTTCTTCCATCAACGTACAGACGGATGTATCTTATACTTCACAAACCCTCATGTCACCTTCACCTTGGGCCCCTCCTGATTCCTCTGTATCTTCTTGTTCTCAAACAGATTTAACATTTGGTTCTCAAGTTTCTCTTCCCATCAGTGTTCAGACTCAAACATTCTTACCTAGTTCTAAGGTAACTTCATCTATAGCAGCACAGACAGATACCTTTACGCATGCTTGTCTCCAGCCATGTGGGATCTCTAGAGAAACTCAGACCAGTGGAATCCAGAGTTCAGCAGACACCACAGTGTCGATGAACCAAGCTGTCATGTGTAATGATATTTTTGAGAATGTCCATGCATACAATGTTTCTACCCCAAACATTTCAAACAATAGTTTAGTCACTGCCCCTGTATCTCACAGTTTGTTACCTCAGGATGGCTGTAAGAATTTGAGTCCAGATGTTGTAAAATCTACGCCTGTTATGAACTTCAGCACACAAAATAATATACTCCCATCTCAAAACATGACTGATAACCAAACCCAGACAATAGATTTGTTAAGTGATCTGGAAAACATACTGTCTGGGAGTCTTCCTGGCCAAACTTTGGATAGCCGTAGTCTCCTGTCTGACAGTAATACCGGGGCTGATCCTCAGCTATCATCTGGGTCAACCCAGAACCCAGGAATTGATTTTGACATTGAAGAATTTTTTTCAGCTTCAAATATCCAAACTCAAACAGAAGAGAGTGACCTTAGCAACATAAACACTGAACCAGTCTTGGAATCTCTGGATATAGAAACTCAAACGGACTTCTTACTGGCAGACAGCACCACTCAGTCTTATAGTTGTAAGGGGAATTCCAACTTCCTAGGCCTGGAAATGTTTGATACTCAAACGCAGACAGATTTAAACTTCTTCTTAGATACTAGTCCTCATCTGCCTCTGGCAAATATTCTGAAGCACTCTAGCTTTTCCATGAGTACTGATTCATCTGACACAGAAACTCAAACTGAAGGACTCTCTGTTGATAAAAATATACCTGGCTTGGAAAAAGTCCAGTTGAATAGTACAGAAACCCAGACTATGAAAAGTGGTTTTGAAACCCTTGGCAATTTGTTCTTTACCAGCAATGAAACTCAAACTGCAATGGATGACTTTCTTTTGGCTGATTTGGCCTGGAATACGATGGAGTCTCAGTTCAGTTCTGTAGAAACACAGACATGTGCTGAACTGTGTTCCGTGTCAAACTTCTAAGACATGATTCCAAGTGTAGGGGAAGACATTTGGAAACTTCCCTTTGAGGTGAGAAAATGAAAAAATGGAGGACAACAGTGGTCTATCAGTGTTGAATGTAACTGATCTTATGCAGTCCCTTAGCAGTTTCCTCATGATACTTTGCGTCTTGTATTTGTAAACATGAAACTTGTATATGTTTTATAAAGTGTCAGTGTCTATAAATTATTATTTTTTAGTTGCTCACTGTTACTACTTCATTGATAGTAATAGCTATCATAGTTCTTGTGTTTTCCTTTACACATTGAAAATTCACATAGAACTATTTCACTGAAACCAAGTCTACCTGCTTCTGGAGTATAGCCTATTTTGTTATGTTTTCAAAACATTTTGGTCTTTAAGTATAGAAAGTGCTTTACTAGGGGGAAAAAGAAACTAAATATTTTGGGGGTTTTGCACTTAAAACTTCTGCACAATGTTGACTCAAAATTCCTGTTGGTTCTTGAAGCTAGTGTTTAGGGTGGACAGATGCTTTATAATCCCTACCCTAGCAGGCTGTGTCAGCTATATGCAGCTAGATTGATGGTAATGACAGCCACATATTTTTTTAATTTTTTGGTTTGGGAACTTCACCATCTGTTTTCTAACTTACGGAATTAAAAAAAAAAAAGCAGCCCTCTTTCAGGCTTTACCTATTAAAATAATTACTGTACAAAAGATATAGTGACTACGCTGTGAGCTACTTCATAGGTGTCCAGTACTTTAAAAATGGACAATCTCTCTGTGCTTTTCCACAAGGGACTCTCCTATAACAATGCTCTTTAAAGGAAAATGATAGATAGAAAGTGGTGTTAGTTCTGTTGAAAGTAATTGTCACCTAACAATAGCAAAAGCAAAACTGTGAAACCATTTATTGATCTAGATTGGAATTTTTCATAAATAATCTTACATTGATTCTCTAAGTGTTATAGACTGAGTGGTGCTCAAGAGCTACTTCCCAAAGCAAACAAAATGGATTTGAGTTTTATCTCCTCTTGATGTTAAGGAATCCTGCCCTGCTTTAAAAACAGAAACCAAAAAAAAACCCCAAACTTTATCTCTTTCTCCTCCTTGGCTAAATTAGGGCAAGGGTACAATACAATCTATGTTTCTTTTTTAAAGTGCCCCAATTTTTATATCTTCATCAATGGCCAACATCTCTCTATTAATGAAATGCTGTAGTGAGGGAATAATACTTGTGCCTTGGGGCTGGACATTTTGGAGTAAATTTATCCTAAACACCATGTTTATTTTGTTTTGGGGGCATTTTTTGTTAAAATTTTAAGGCAAGAATACCAAATAGTACGGTCCTAATATAAGTTGAGAAGAAAAGCATATGGCTTTAATAAGGAGGGTATCATATGTCTGCTGTGGAAGAGAGATGATTGAAGAATAGTGCTGGTGTTTTTCTTTGGTTTCATAAAATGTAAGCCAGGTTTGAGGAGATGGAGATTCTTTAGTTTGACAGGCACATTTTTTAAGTTTATAAAACCATTTTATGGTCCTCGTATCAGACATGCTTATGCAGATAGGAAGCAAGGGTTTAAAGAAACATACCAAATCTCAGAAGAGAACTACTGACAGTTATGTAAACTAAAATTATAGTGTTATGCTGCTATTTCAGATGTCTGATACAGAGACCATAACATAATGATTTTAGGAGGTTTTAGTAATGATCAATAATTTCCCATTGGAAGCAGTTGAATTCAGTGTGGTAGATGACAGGAAAACTGTGATGTGATCAGAGTGGGTATAGATCTGGATTTCAAAACTTAAAACATATAAAGCCTTAACTTAGCAATTCCATGTGTTCTTAGGATTGTCATTGCCTTAATGTTTAAACTCTCTCTTGGCAGAGGAGCAGTGCATGTTTGTTTAGGCCTTGTGTAAATACTGTATGTTGTGATCCATGGCTTGAAGAAGCGCTTTGTTTCTGTGATAATGGATATTTTTTCTTAATTCAGCCAATAGATATTTGTAGGAAAGTAAAGCATGTACAAATACAAATAACAAATGAGGCTTGTTTCAAAAGCATTTCTTGAATTACTCAAAAATGAAATAAAGCTCATTATAAAACCTAAAATTCAGTGATTAAAGAGAAGTCAAAATCATTTAAACTATACTGTTGAGAGTTCTTTAAGGTCTTTACTCAAACGTAGCTTGTCTTTATTCTAAACTCTTCTGCAAAAAGCTTATTTCCCATTAGGAGCCATATTGCTTTCAACTTTTGACCATGAAAATAAACATGCCGAGAATTTTACTAGCAGAAAGATGTTCTAAATGGTACCTGTACAATTGATAAAAATTTCACTTTAGATCTAGATGACAAATGGATAAATTTTATGAAGCAAAAAGTTTTAAACTTCATGAACTACTGTTGGAAAACAACCAGCTGATTCAAAGAATTACTTCGGTTGATACAAATTCTCAAACATGAACCTTTTTGAAAAAAAATTATGCCACTTTTGTGGAAATAAGTATGGTTCTGGCATAAGAGCTAAGATGTGAAGGTTAGAAGATGTTTGGCTACTTCCTTTACCCTTTCAGTAGAAGGTTGTGTGGTTCTAGGATAAGCATTCATTCTCCATGTGCCTCTATTTCCTGCTTAAGATGAGGGAAGCTCATCTAAAAAGGAATGTAACTTAAAGACATATTTTTAGAACTTTGTGACTGGCATGGTGGCACATACCTGTAATTCCTGCTCCTGGAGAAGGCTGAGGCTGATGGATTGTTTGAATTCTGGATTTCTGAGCTGCAGTATGCTAATCCAATTTGTGCTACACAAATACGGTGAGCCCCCTGGGAATGATGGGCCACTAGCTGCCTGAAGAGGAACAAGCCAGCTCGGGTCAGAAAAACATCAGACTAAAGCTTCTGTGCTTGTCACAGCACTTCTAGCTCGTATTAAGACTTTAAAAAAAAAAATCATCTAGTGCTTTTTCATCATATAAGGAGTTTTTTTGTTTGTTGTTTCAGATGTAAAATCGGATCTAAAAGATGTGAGATGGACTAAGTTATGTAGCTCAGTAGTTTAATTATATTTTGACCAACCTCAGTAAAGCCTTCTCCTTGAGAGCATCTGTTAAAAAGGATTTCAGTTTTGCCAGCATATTAGTAATACCTGGTACGAATACCTAGCAATCCCATTATACCTCAAGGAGTTCAATGACAGGTTGACAGAAAGGCCCTGTATGTAACAAACTAAAATATTCATAGCAGCTTTTTTTTTTTTTTTGCGATAGCAAAGAACTAGAAATAAACTAAGTGCTCATCAGTTGGGGAAGTCATGGAAGGTCATTGCACTGTAAGAAATGACAAATGTGAAGAATTCAGAGAAATATGCAAAGACAGATGGAGCCAAGAAGTACAAGAGAAATAGGATCAAGAAAGTGTGCACACAAATTACAGTGATGTAAACAAAAATAAGAAGCAGCTGAACACAGATTAAGTGCAATGAATAATATCAACCCTAGAGAACAGGATGAAATGCAGAGACCTTCCAGTAGAATGGTGAAGGGGTTATGGATGCTAACTATTATATACAACGTTAGACATAATGACTTTGTTGGTTGACTTTATTTGTTACAAAGGAACATTCAGTGGCAGAGAAGATCAAGAAATGATGGATGTGAAAATAAGGCTTCAAAAATAATTTAAATGTTAAAAATACCTTGTTCAAATGAAAAATGAATTTTAAACTGGAAGACTGATGGGGTGGGGGAAGGTTAAATAATAGAAATTTGTTTAGATCCTTCTGGAAGACTTTAGTCAACATAAAGATCTTGTAAGCAGAAGACAGAAGATCGTTGCTGGGCAATGATTTCCCTTGAAAGGATTAACTCAGTTAATAATGAACTAGAACTCATAAAGATACAATACAATTTTATTGTTTTTTGTTTTTTGTTTTTATTTTGTGTAGCAAAAGAGACTCCCTTGTGGTAGACTAAAGCTAGTCAGACATGACTTATAAAATAATAGCAGCCTAAGATCCATCAACATGACTAAATTGAGGAATATTAAGTTGTAAACTCATTTTAAATTATTTGAATGGGGCAGATACCTAAGGTCATGAACTGAAGATAAACAAACATCCATGTCAGCCATATTCAAATTCTGGGAAAAGCCCCTTACTTCGTCCCTTCAATGGAGACACTGAAGTCATGCATAATAAGTTGGGTGTTGCCTTTCAATCTAGTCTAATTGTAATATAATCAAAGCATGCGCTTGAGAATTTTGTTTACCAGTGCTTATGAGACTGACATTCTGAAAGCATCATTAGAATCCTGTTGCTAAAGCCTGCCTCATCACGAGCCTCTCTTTGTTGTGTTCTGAAGCAACCTGAAGATGTGTAACACAGCTACAAGTACATATAAAGCAAATAGCATCAGATTTCTGGTTTCATCTGTGAAGCACTTCCATGCTCCTTTGTCTTTTTGGAATAAAAATATCTCCATAGTGATCCTTTTTATTCCCAACGGTGCACATTGCTGAGAGGCTTCCCAGTGTCTGCCAGCAGTGACTTTGGCCAAGTACACGAGACTGCTGGTGAAGAAGACAACACTCCTGCCTAGTCACCAATCTTGGTATCTTCATCTTATTACTTTTTCTTTTTCTTTTTCTCTTTTCTCTCTCTCTCTCTCTCTCTCTCTCTTTCTGTCAGCTGCCAGCTAACTGGAAAACTACTAACTTTTTCACATCCTGGGTGGTGGAGTGAGATTTGTGATTTCATTCTCAAATTTGTAGACTAGAAATAAATCTGAAATTTATCCTCCTTCAAGTTGCATCTTCCTTTCCTGCTAATTCTAGTAATACTGGTGTGACCTCAGAATATATGGAACCCATACTGAAAGGACAAAAGTTAGTAGGTCAATGAACTTCAATCAACTCGCCTCATCTATTTAACTTCTAAATCATCTTTTTACTCAAAAAAAAAATTCCCCCACTAAAAAATCTATCTACTGAGAGAAAATGAGACTTCATACTTACAGACCTTGTTAAACAACTTAGAGAAACACTGCAGAAGGTATAACTGGAATTATTCAGACTACAAATTCCTGTCCATGGAAATCTTTGATTATATTTAGGAATTAATTTTAAGAATTATAAGCTGTTGTTTTAAAATTCCTCAGATTTGTAATATGTTCTTTTTCTCACTATGGAATTCTCAATTCTGAAATAAGGCCCCTTCCCTACATGGAC